TTTGGAACGGTAAAGCTATGAATGAAGGCACTTTCCTAGAATTACTCAATATAAGATCATACTTCAGGGAGAGACTGCTACAGGCTGCCTATGTGACATCGCCGTCAAGAGAAGATGTCGCCAGTTTTCTCAAAACATGGATAGCATTGACTAGGCCGTCATCTTGCCATGTGGTCACATCCACCTGGTGGAGAGTCGCTTCAATCAACTCACACCTCTAAGTTGATCTGAACACATAAAGTGTCCCACTAGCGCTGAACATGCCCGAGAACACGGTCCTCTCAGAAAAGAGCTTTGGGCTCCTTATAACACAGCGCACTCTTTTAGCGACTTCATCCAGCTGACTTGATCTTGTCTGTCCCCCCTTCCCCGTTTCCGTAGTGGCATACCAATAAAACCCATTGCATTCCAGTGAGCACTGCAGAATTACGGAACCCGAAGCATGTGGCATTTCTTCGTTAGAATTTGCTCATTGAACTCTGAATGCGGCCACGCAACCGCCTAGACCAGGCTCATAATTCATCGAATCATTCCTCATTGCTGCAGTAGAAATCAACTGTTTGTGTTAAAGGAATCTTGCGCGGAAAAATCATGATTCTATTTCAGCCATAAATCACTGGCTTGAGACTCATTATCCACGATAATAGTGAAAAGAACTGAAGTATTGCTTTCGTTTTGATTAGAAATTCGAAAACTCGAAAAGGCTGCTACGCGTTCGAATTGCCCACGGACGTCTTTCACGAATGCTGGCGACGGGGATGCTCAAACTTGGTTCTTGGAGTGCATTCACTAGAAGCTCTTTCTGGCCTTCTGCTTCGTTGCATTCACATCTTACACTTCTACTCCATCCTATTCCATCGATCGATTTGTCTCCACTCTCCGAAATCGCGCGCTTTAACCCGATTCTCTCATTGCGTCGCCTGGTACGTAGCCGGCCAAACGCCGTCTTCTTTCCATGCCTCGCCTGGCTCTGCCTCCTGGTCCTTCGATGGTCCATAACGTGTAGTTTTTGTACGTTTGTTTCTCTTCAGAAACCGAATCTTCATGCGTGAAACTTTGTGTGCTATTTCCAGTGATCACAACTGACATATTCATGTTAGGAAAGAGTGCAAGAATTTTCCGCGGAATTGCAGAGATCGACCATAATAAAGCACTTAATAGGGTTTCATATACAGAATATGTGAAAGGCCCTCAGTTCCATCTCGGCACTGGACCGTAAGCGGCCATTGTCAGCACTGCTGAAGAGCGGACCGCGCCAACTGCAAACTTAGATTATCTACTTGATCACGCATTTATCCTAAGGTCATGCCTGCAGTATCGCTTCAAGAGAAGCTCATCATAAGCCGTGCCTAAGGTGACAATTTGAACGACGACGGTATCAATCATTCGTTCTCAGCTTTATAGAAACTAAATAAATGCTTGTGAGCTCACAACGCCAGTAACCATCCCACACAGTCACACTGATATGCCCACTTTAACGTTCTTCTATTTGCAGTGGGTGTATGAAGTTTCCCGGCTTTGTTTGTGGCTTGTGTACCTTAAAATTGTAGCAATCGGCGCATTTTACAACTGCGCATTCTTCATGAAATCATTCCACATCCATCATTTGGGTATGTGAGTCGGATAAACGAGCTTTGCCTCTCATTTTGGAATTTCTACACATTTGGACTCACAAGTGTGTCTGAGCACCTCCACACAGAGTCCACAATGAGGCCGATGTCAGACTTTGCGAATCGCGCGATTCGCTAGCGTCTGCGGTCGCGTCCAGTGAATCACTCAATTGGCTGGTACCGCAACGCGACCGCGGACGCTAGCGAATCGCGCGATTCGCAAAGTCTGACATCGGCCTAAAGGCCGTTAAATAAAGAGGAGTCATGGAAGCCTTCCGAAATCTGTGCGCTTTTGCTTACCCTTTTCTTTCTAGGAACTTTATGGAGTATGTTTGCCTGCCTTTGAAAGAACATTCAGCCTCGAATCCAAAAATGGAAATCACTGCTTTGCAAGAAGGAAAAAAGTGACAAATGCTTTTTAGAAGGTAAAATGCCTCTTAAAATTTGAACCCAAATATAATTGTCCGTGGAACAAGTCATGGAGCGTGCGTGCGTCTAGGGCAACCAAGCGTTCCGTCCTTCTCTTGTTGACTTGGTACTAGAGTTATCTGGGAGGATGAAAGCGACTGACTTATACATCATCTGGCCCCAACATGTCATTGTGTGGGCCAAATAGCACAAAATGAAAGAATGATCATGAATGGAAGCAGAATACGTGGCCCATCCCAAAAGAAGTGACCAACGCCGCTGGCTTTACTCTCCTTCATTCATTGTAGAACTAAAGTCAACCACTGCGTAGGAAAAGTTTTGGGTCTGCATGACCTCCTCTCTGCAGTATACGACCCTCCGCCGGCCCTTAAAATGATAAAGCTACAGTAATACCAGACAACACTGCTAATCTTCCTCTATTCTCAACTTTAAAATGATGTGGAAGAAAAGGAGTAGATAAATACAGAAGGTTACAAAGAAATTAACATTACGCATTCCCAAAATTACCCACGATTCGGTTTAACTCATTCACGTCTCTGATAGTTTCCGCTTCCCATATTTTTGCCGTATCTAAAAAACATTGGAACTGCATTTAGGCCAAATATGACCCTCAGCACTCACTTTATGTATAACTCCATATCTTTCATTAACAAAACCACAATGTAGGCGTGCGAATTTATTGAGCCCGGCCCCATCAGTTGTCACAGTTACCCTGATAACGCATCTCGAGAGAGCCCTGCGACCTGTTCTGCTTCATATAACTTAGGTACAAATTTTGATAAGCCCCGTTAATCAGCGCAATCAGGTATTTACGCTTTGCAACATAAGAACACGTCTGCAGGACATTTGGCCGGTGCGTGGTCAGATGAGGCATACTCGTGACCAGAACGATAGCAGCCGTTGTTTTTACTACTGGATGCCTACTTTGACTGATTATGACGAGACAACGATTGAACTTTGCCTGGTGTGATCGATAAATAATATGAACATTTATTACAAAGGAACTATGCACAATGTCAAGAAGAAAAATGCAACATACAGAGTGTTGCTATTCGATCTGAAGCAAATTTTACAATGGAAAACAGATACCTTTTCGTCAACCTTTGACTGGTAATTGAAGGATTTAGCACACACGCACAATTACAGAAACACACATTCTTATGCTAAAGGAGATGATGATATTGGGAACGGTGAAATGCTTCCAGTGGTTTTCAGTTAGTTGCTTCGCCCTGAAGGATCTTCACGTCCCATAGGAACAGGAAAAATTCGCAGACGATCAGTGCCTGAAAACATCTCAGTATCGTACCACTCCTTTAACGACCACAGTGTAACGATATACGGTAGAATAACACCTACCGCACTCGCGATAAGAGTCGAGCGAGAAGTATTGTATTCAATGATAAACCAGATAATAAGAGCTGCAGCGATCAAGAACAAAATCGTGCAGATCACCGAGTAGATTCGTTCCTGAAAAGAGAAGGTCAATGTTGAATAAAACAAGATTCGCTTCATTCATGACTTACTAGTCCCCATGCTCCGATGTTGAGGAAATTGAGTACGAGCAGGACAATGTTGATGATGACAACGATGAAATTGAGACCGGAGCAGAAGCCGAGGCGACCTTCACCAAAACACGATTTACCGCCATACCTGAAAACAAGAACTTGGGCCTTTTTGCGTCTCCACTTGGAAGATCTTCAGTTAAATATATCATAGGCTTCTGACCTAGATGCAAAGCTCGGGAATCACCAATATTTCAACAAAAGGACCCGCAAAACTGCCATAGTGAGAGGTGACAAGAAAAATAGAGATGAATCATAAAGGAGAAGAGTGCATTTCAGCTTCACTAGTTCTTAGGCAGAACCCCCCACTTCTCTGCAAGTCACCTTCTGCGCATCAGAGGAGGTCATAGACCAAGTTTCTGAATGGATTGCTACACAGCTGCTGCAGTACCTTGGTAAAAGCATACCATTGGGTTGTGTGCAACCAGAAGTCTTTCTAGGTTTTACTTTTTGGGATGCAGCGCGATCATCACTTGACCCATAGAGATAGGCCTCGAAGTGTCTTTATGACACCAGCTCCACGGGTCAAGGTTATGCGCTCCCCACAAACAATGGGTGCCTTGTCGAATAGAATGTGAGAAGCGGTTGATGAGTTGCTTACAGTTGAGATCGATCGTCAGTGTAACAAGGAGAGAGAAAGAGAGGACATAGTAGTAAACAATCGTAAAACGCCGGAAAAACATCACGTGCAGAGAGAAAATTGGCCGCTGCTAAAAAACAGTGTCATGAAATGATCGGATTAAATGATTTTTGTGAGGAAGTTGGGAAAGCAATAGAGCCAAACGAAGAGCTGTATATTTTGCCAAACGAGGAGTTTTGAGTGCTTCATCGCTGCAAAAAAAAACACGCTTGTTTGAACGCTGGAACTACAGGAAGAAGTGCTTGAACACTTCAACGCCGAAAACGCTTTGGTAGTATTGCAATTAAAGACTGAAAAGCTCACCATTGGGCACATAGTAAGGAGCAGATGATGAAACCGCAAACAATTTGGAGAATCTTGATGATTCCACGGTTGGTGCTCAGGTAGCGGGTGTTAAGCGAAATTTCTCCCATTCTTCTGAAAAGCAACAACAATCGTAAATAGTAAAATGTAGGAGCAACACACTGTATCAGAACGAAAAAGAAGCTTCGCAATGGCGAGATGATTGATGAGGTTGTGGTCAGTGAACGTTAACGAAGGTGCAACATAGCGCGTGTGTGTGCATGAGTGGACGTGCGCCGATCGGGGCGTATTTTAAGGTGATCATCCAGTGGCAGTGGGAGGGTGGTAACCAAAAGAGGCAGGCGAAAACAAACCGGTCATGTGCATCACTGAGCGCTAAGCTGTCACGTCATTTTCAAGGTTGCTACTCTCTCTAGTAAACATTACCGTCGTAATCATCAACGACCACCATGGAAACCATAGATGGAGAGGAACGCTGTACAAAAGATAATCAGTAAAACTATTCCCGTGCAGAGTATAACAGACCAGTCCATGGGAACGAAAACATCGCAATGGCAGTGCGCTGCCCTACACCCTCCCCCCCCCCCCCACCCCGCCTCTTTTCTAACTGCCAAAACACAAAACAGTCGCAACCACGATGGGTCTGGGTTGGCGGAATGACTCATCCTCTATCGAATTGGTTGGGGGAACGCTATTGTAGAGGTGTTTATGTGCTTTCAGAGGGTCACTTGGACGTTGATCTGGGATGAACGAGTGGAGAAGGACCAGCAGTGGTAACAGATGCCAAGGCGCTAGAGCCGACCGCCGTCTCATTGGCAAATTATGCGGTGCAGCTGCTGGTGCCAAGCCATAGAGTGGGAGGGACCCTTTGTGTCTCAGACTCTGCCCCAGTTGTACGCCGCCTAGTGATCAAAGACCAATGGCCAGCTAAACCAGATCTCGAAGGGTTTAGTGCAGGAGCGGATTCCCCAGAGATCGTCAGCACTGACTGGAAGTCAGCGACGACTGTGAGTAGCCGCCGTGGTTTTGCCTTGGCAATCGACGTCTTCTTATAGTCATGAGAGTGGGAGGAGGAGAAAAGTATCTGAAAGGTTTCTGAAACGAGTTTCTTTCGCTCTCTTTCTCGCCAATCTCGCTTCTCCCCAACTATCATGTGCACCCACACCCATTGCGAAATAACAACAGAGAGCATGCTCACCCGGGCGAAAACAGCGTTTTCGAGGCCCCCAACGCGAAGGAAAATCGAGGCGCCGAATAGTGAGACGCTGTAACTTCACGACGACAGCAAATTGCCGTGTTTCCTGGACTCACTGAATGCTCCCATGAGACCAGTGAGGTGAAAAGCCTCTCGGTTAAACGCCGATATTCCCATGTGAAAATGCGAGGTATTGTGATGTCCTCGAAAAACAGATGTGCGAACCACGAAGAAGATAATGAGAAGAATCGCACAGGTAAACGTGATGTCTACTGAGCCGGACCATTGAATCAAGTATGTTTGAGTGTTGTTGTTCGTGAGAGACACGAAGGAGAGCTCTGATGGACCCGTCAAGAGTGAGGTGTGTTGAGGTTGTGACGGAGTTACGGTGAAGTGGCTGGCACCGCCTACCATGTACTCTCACCTAAACAAGTATCCGCTATGAGTCACAACATGTGGAATTATGTGTTTCAGTCGGTCACGAAAAAAACGGTGCCATTACAATGAAAACGCCTTCCGGACGATGAATAATAACGGTGTCTGCGCAAGCGTCCAATCGTGGTGCCATGAAGATTGTGGAACGCGAGAGAGCGTTCGTGCACGTAAAATACTTCGTAAAACATTATGTGTTTGTGAGTAATGGCCCTCCTGCGGCTTACTTCCTTACCTCATGCTTCAGCCCTGCAGTTATCGAAGCCTGAGAACGCCACTTAGACCCTGAATGCGCAGTCGATTTCAATATCCCTCCAACCTGAGCTACGTCACGATTTCAAGTGGTAGTGATAGATAAAGTCTAGTGATGCGTTGAGGAAGTAGGCTCATTGTTTTCCAAAGGGTTGGAATCAGTTCTCACACCGCAAAATCCAAAAAAAAATCTTGAAAAAAATCAGTAACCAATCCAAAATCGGGAGGAGAATTCCTGTGACTAATATCTGGATTGCGCCACGTCTTCAATTTCTATTGCGTTATAGTGCTTGCATTGTGAGTACAATGACGCGCTGGCCTATGCAGTGTGTCTTTGTCTTTTGTCTGTCCTGCTAAACTCCGTGCACAAACTGCCATACTCTGTATTTAGGGCAATAGATGACAACGGACGACCCGAAAGGCTCCACCGAGAGACCACAAGACCTGCATTAGTGTTCTGATGCGCCAACTCCTATCAACTTCTGCGATAGATTTTTCAACGATACATGATTTTGAGGGCCACAACATTTTTGCACAGCGTTTTTTTGCTCGATGGAACGAAAACCAACTTTTTTTTGCTGGTAGTGAGCTGATTTTTATAAGTACTGAAGCCTTGGAAGGAGACAATGCCTCAACACTGAATCTGGTAATTTTCTAGTTCGCGCTATTTTTCTTCTCATCGAATTATCATCGCTCCAAACACTGCAAAGGTAAGCATTCCCTAGAGTTGGACCGGATGACCACAAGCTGACTAGAGAGAGCGGCGATTGTTTACAGGAGCCGTGAGAGAATCAACGAGATAAAGAAAGCAAAATAAACAAGGAAAACACGACATCGCTCCGATGAACAAGTAAATACTTTGTTCACGTTTATAGCGTCTCGCGAATTTTCCGCTTCAGCGAAACTTCCAGAAAGTTGGACATGTAGATTTACTGAGTTGACTATGAGTGCTCCTGCTTCGGATACACCCGCGAGAGAACATCGCCTTTCAAAATTTAAATGAACTGCTCCAGTTGTGTAGCAGTAAAACAGTGCTAAAGGAGAAGCAGTCACTGAGAATAGGATAAAGTCCACTAAGTGTTCCCACCTCCTAGTGACCTCATTCCCAGCGTTATTTAGCCGTGGTCAAGTCGGTCAGTTGGGTTATGTGGCCAATGGAATGGAATGGATTTAGTTTGTTTCCATCCTGTTTGATGCGGCACTGTTGAGAAACACATGTGGTGCAGTAGCTCACCAAATGGCTGGCTCGTCAGTTCCCTGACAATTTCAAATAAACGAGAACCCTCCCATTGGCGGTTGATAGAACGCGTTTACCAATACAGAAGGAAACTTTGTAACGCTCGACAGAACAAATAGGGATGGGTCACGCATTAGTCTCTATCCGAACAACTTGTAATTGCATCGCTCCCTCACCACGACCCTAGGAGCCATCCAAAGGCGATGCCAGTTTTTGAAGTGTTTTGGCATCTTGACTGTTTTTTTGGCAGCAGTTGCAAATGCGAGTTATCACTAGGAATGCTCGTTATAGTAAAGCGATTCGCTCCAGTTGAAAATCGAGCTCGCATCTCTGGCTTTCGGAGCAGTTGTGCTCCGATTACACACCAGGGAAGCGTTTCGCCTTATCTCATCACGTTATACGCGTGATTGCTGTGGTAAATGCTCTAGTGAAACTTGAGCCGAAATAAAACAATTCTCTGGTGGTGTGATCGGTGACACAACTGCTCCCAAAACGAGAAGTGTGGGTTTGACTCCCATTTCGGTCAAAGAGCATTCGAGGTCAGCGTTTCTGAACAAGTCGCTGCTTGCTTATCTCAGGGGGGGGGGGGGTAATGAATAAAATATCTCGGTAGAGCAACTTAGGGTAAGTCACGATTTCGACCCAATTCTAACACCATGAAACATTTTGTTCGCCTTTCACAATTAAGTATGTTACGGGAGTGAAGGGGTTCTTTTAACCACCACCTTGCCTCAACACGAATGGATCTCTTATCGCTTCTGTTTCTTTTTGATCTAGAAGAAGACTGCTGATGGTCACCAGATGTAAGAAATCGAAAACTGCCAAATATGGTGACGTCACAAACCCTCCGTAATAATTTCCGGTGGTGGTTCGCGTGACTCTCGTAGTGGTCGTCGTGTATGTGGGCATAATCGGTGCGATGAGCTGCGGGACACACCAATACACACTGAAATGAGGGGAGCGACGTGAAATGAACGAGCAGAAGATAACGGGTGAAATACAACTGGGAACCGTTCACGACCAATTCAATAGCGAAACGTTCATCAAACGCGAACACAAAGAAACGAATGAAAAAAAAACACGAAATGTAACGATAGAGAGTAACGAGGTGACAGAGAAATGAAAAGGAGGAAAAAAAGAGGTCGGACTGAAGAGAATGCCAATTTCCGTAGGTCCACTCTTCGAACTGTCTACCTTATCGCAGAGAAGGCAGTCCTTTTAGGCTTACGTTCCCGCTCTATTTACTCTATAATCGCCCGTTCCGGAAGTTTGAAAAGACAAGTGTGGGTCACTAAAAGGTTTAATCATTGGGTAAATGACTCTCTTCGACGACTAACATGTCTATGCCCTTTGCTGTGCAAACGTCAGAAGGAAGTGAATGCTCTCGGCCACTGTACGAACAGCAATGAGTATCGCTGAAAACCAGTTTAACATCATTCTTCTTCCTGCTTTTTTCGTTCATCTTCAGAGCTCCCAAATTCCTCTCTGCCACCCGGTCGTAGGAGCCCCGATCATCGTTGAACAATGGACTTTAGTGGAAAGACATGCACATAATATCGAGTTCTGCTATAATAGATGGGGTAGAATAGGTGGGAAACAGAATGCGGTGTAGGCTGTCGATAAATGTGGAGAGCACAAACTGCCTGTCATGAGTCAGTAACATTCAACGTTGTGAATGTTGATAGAACTGGTTCGCGGCGGGAGATTCATTTTTACAGAGTACTGTACGACGGACATCAAGGAGAGGGGCGACTTCATCGGAATTCTAACCCAGACTTCTGAAATTAGCGGCAAATTTCGTTCTTGTTGGATTAGAGTTTTTTTCCAAAACGATCTGGGTTTCTACGAGAGCATCCAGAGGTTGTGGCGGTCAATAGCTGTTCCTAGAAACGGCTATAGAAAGAACAATGTGAAGCAAACCATTTTTTCTCAAAATAGTGCAATCAAGAAGGTATTTCAATCCATATGAGCCGTGACCTCCTTCGAGTTAGTTG